TTTGGTGATCATGATGATCTTCCAGAAAATTGCTTCCCAGCACGGGGAGGAGTTGCTTTAATCCTGTCACAACGTGTGGCACCATACACACAAATGATTGATACAGATTATGACTTTGTAATAGGTGCAGAGATACATGTACCAAACAGCCAACCATTGGTGATATTGTCGGTGTATTTACCTGCAATAACACAGCCTTTAAAACAACTTTATGTGGGCTGTTGACGTTTTAGAGGGTTTGATGCAGTCATTCTGTGAAGAATATACATTTATTGTAATGGGGGACTTCAACACCAATGTTACAGGACCTAGATGTGACTTCCAGCCAAATTCCAGAAGCAGACGACTTCATCACCTGCTGTCATCCTTCGACATGGTATCCATAGTAACACAAAGTGAGTGTCAAGGACCAAACTGGACCTTCTGTTCACATGATGGGGACCTAAAACACCCATTGATCACGTGTTAGTATCACAGAATGACCAAATTAACGTTACTCATGCCAGAGAACTTGATGATCATGGATTCAATGTCTCGGATCATTACCCCATTGTATGTGAATTTGCGTTAGATACTGCCTTGCCACATCATATTGACAATGGAGCGAAACATAGAGTTGCGTGGGAGAAACCTCGTGACCGTGGTATCATCCGTGATTATACATTTGCTGTGTCACATATCCTGTGGCCGTTGCCGGTTGTAGATGTCAACTGTGGTGAAGAGGGGCTCAACCTATACTATGAGACAATTGTCACCTGTTTGATAAATGCTGCTACTGATACACTTCCTCTGAAACGGTTCCAGAAGCATCTAAAGTCCTACTGGACAGATTGCGTAAAAGTCTCCCATAGGGACATGACTATGGCAAGAACAAGGTGGAAGCAAGAGGGGCGTCCCAGAGACATGCAACACATATCATTCAAGGAGTACAAGATGGATAAAGACAAATTTAGGAGAGAGATGAGACAGGCTGCAAATAATGTGATATCTCAATGGATGAGTGACCTTGAGAAATCATCTGAACTGAATCACAAAGCTTTCTGGCACCTGGTGAACCGGAGGTTAAAAGGATCCCTTGACAAAGTGATCACACCAATTCAAGTAGAAGGGGTCACATACAGCAACCCTGATGATGTGCTTGAAAAATGGGCTTATCACTTTGAAACTGTCTTTCAGTCATCAGATAAGCCTCATTTTGATGAATGTTTTAAACGCAACATCGAAAGTCAGGTTTCTGAGATAAGGAAACTGTGCAACGCCGACACATCTGATCCCTGTCATATCACACTTAATGAAGTTGAGGCAGTGTGCAAGAAGCTAACAAATGGAAAATCAGGTGGAATTGATGGATTAGTATATGAGCATCTGAAGTTTGGAGGGAGAACATTAATGCATCACCTGAGCTGTCTATATAACCTTGTCATTCAAACTGGTTTTATTCCACGAGCCTGGAAGCGTAGTGTTATTCTGCCACTACATAAAGGAGGCGGCAAATCAAAGAAAGACCCAAACTGTTATCACGGTATTTCATTAAGCCCCGTAATAGAGAAAGTCTTTGAAATGGCCCTACTGCCACACTTAAACGCTCTGCGCCAGGATAACAATTTCCCTAACAAACAGCAGATGGCTTACCAGGAAAGTCTCTGTTCAACTCACGCTTCGTTCAACCTGCAGGAGACAGTTCAGCACTACCAAGAGCGAGGCAGCGACGTTCATGTGCTATTTCTTGACAGCTGTAAAGCATTCGACAGTGTGTGGCATAATGGTTTGCGGAAGAAGTTGTATGATGGTGGAGTAAAAGGAAAACTGTGGACTGTTATAGACAAGCTGTACCATGATATGGAGAGCTGTGTATTGATAGGTAACATGCAATCGAGGCGGTTCACTCTTCAACAAGGCGTACGTCAGGGTGGAGTGTTGTCTCCAAGGCTGTATCTGCTGTATATCAACCAACTCTTGGACGATATTACTGAATCGAAGAAGGGTGCCCTGATTATGGATTTGAACACAGAATGTCCAACTCAAGCCGATGACGTAGCCTTGCTGAGTTCCTGTACCAGTAATCTCAGCTCCCTCCTGAGAATTGCAGAAAACTACAGTAGGTTGTGGCGCCTCACATTCTCGTCTTGTAAGACTGAGCGCATTACATTTGGGGCTAGCAGAAAATCTAAAGTTGTTGCTGACGACCTCTCCTTATATCGGGGTCTACTACCAACAGTTAACCAAGTCAAACATGTCGACATTATACTCTCTGACAGGTTTAATTCAATGGAAAGAACACTAGACGCATGTACTAAGATCAGATCCTATGCTTACACAATGTCAAGGAAAGGATTTAATCCATCTCTGGTGTCTCCCATTGTCTGTCTGAAACTGATCCAGAAAGTAGCTCTACCAAAGTGTCTTTTCGGTATTGAGCTGTGGAACTCTCTCAGTCAGACTGAGATTCTTATGCTTAAATGTTCCTACAGGCATGTCATAAAGACGATTCAAGGCCTCCCAAAGAGAACTAGGACTGATGTGTGTCTTGGTCTCCTGGGTTTACTACCTCTGGAAGCTGAGATAGATAAAAAGAAACTCTTGTTTGCCGGAAACCTCATAAACATGAACACATCTTACCTTCCACACCAGGTGTTTCTGACAAGGCTACTGTGCTTTGTTCATGGTGTGTGTGCACAACCGAGAGGTTTCATTCCAGATCTGATGAGACTCATCCAGAAGTATCAGTTGACAAATGTGCTAGAAGACTACTTGTCAACTGGCATATTCCCACGTAAGGCTTCTTGGAAACAAAGTGTGAAAGCCGCTGTTTGGAAGTTCTATTCCGCCTCTTGGACTGATACGATAACAGTTGAACCAGATCTCCAGTGGTTCGCACAGATACACCGTGATCTGTGTGTTCATCCAGAAGACCACCTGTACCGAACCTCGTCCAAGTTCCTGGTGCAGTTATGTTCCAGCATTAGATACATTAAAGATGCTGTGTACCTGTGTGAGAAGTGTGGACGGTTATATAGTGATCCGTGTGTTCATGCTGTCGTGCAGTGTGATAATCTACTCTCTGTGAGAGATCAGCTGTGGTGTGAACTGATCAATATTGATCCTGTGGACTTCAGTGTATGGTTCCACAATTTGTCAGACATTGAGATGGTGTTGTGTCTTCTGTCATGTAACCCTCAGCATGGACTTAATGCAGAGGATCAGAGAGCATTTACTAGTGTGGCTGTAAGGTACATTCATCTGATGTGCAGAGAAGTCACACAGCACTAAGCAGTGCAGCCAGCTTTCTGAGAGACTCTATTTCATATAACAACGTGACTGTGGTGTAATTATTACCCTTTTGCAACTTGTACTTGTACTCTCCCAACTTGGAGGATAAATAAAGAATATATAGGGTGTATCGTGGACTGGACTTCGATATTCGAAATTGTTCTGACGAAGAGTTACATACGAAACTGTATCTCTGCACATCATAGGACCTAACATACATGTTGTACAAGTACATGGTGACTACGTTTCATCTTTTAACACTTGTGGAAAGGTTTATATATGCTTTACTAAACTAAATGTGTGAATTTCTTCTGTATATATTATTCAAACAAACACTTTCAAAGAATATAACACGTACGCCCTATACCCACGTATGATATGATATTGAACAAGGCTACATGTAGATAATTAAATTAGTTTCATGAAAAAATATCCGAACGATTTACATTATGATACTGAAAGTGTAATCGGTGGGATATGGTGATTGTATATACTTTTATTCTACCGACCTTCACCTCAGAGAAATTGCCAAATACACTCCCATTTTAAGATAGAGAAGAAGCCAGAAATGCCGATTATTACAGTTGTCGTTCTGCGTGATTTTGCGTCAGTCATGGCGTCATGCAGCCCAGAAACTTTACAGTTTCGTGAAAACACATCACATTCCTGTATTGTATCTATTTTTAATTTCCTATTTCTTGCTACTATGCTCTTTCCATGCAAATGGGTGTCTGAAAATTTGAGAAAATGCTACACAGTGTAAAGTCTGAAATTTTCTTTGTTTACATTTCAAACAGGTGTTGTCGTTCGAGCACAGCAGTTATTTCCACCCCAAATATCTTTCGTTTCACTTTATCTAGACGCTTGGTATTGGTACCAAAAAGACCAGTTGTAATTAGATTCTAAAATGTATGAGGAATTCAGTAGGGCTGGGACGAGTAGGAAACAATGGAATCGAGTACCCGCATGTACGTACCCGAATCGGAATCGAGTACCCGGAAATGTAAGAAATACATTCTGTTCAACTTTCTGAATATTCAATCACGATTTGACAGAGATTAGTGTAGAAAACTTGAACAGTTGGCAATAAGACATTAAAACTGACCTCAAACTATTTAATTTACGTCTGTTGAACCAATATAGAGAGTAACACCATTACTTACATTCCTCGTTATGACAACGAACGTTTTGTTCCTGCTGCTACTGTAACTTAACTACTCACAGCTCATGTTCAGATAAATTACAGTCATTAAAACTATGCTCCATTAATCGGACAATACCAATGATGTAAAAACCCGTGAATTTCCGGGTTAGAATATGGATCTTCAGTAACCATTGCTTGTCCCTGGCTCCGGGCCGATGGCTCCACCGAGTAAAGACTAGATCTGATTCTGCCTACCTCTATAACTGTCCTGGATCCCGACCGATGGCTCCACCGAGTAAAGACTAGATCTGATTCTGCCTACCTCTATAACTGTCCTGGATCCCGACCGATGGCTCCACCGAGTAAAGACTAGATCTGATTCTGCCTACCTCTGTAACTGTCCTGGATCCCGACCGATGGCTCCACCGAGTAAAGACTAGATCTGATTCTGCCTACCTCTATAACTGTCCTGGATCCCGACCGATGGCTCCACCGAGTAAAGACTAGATCTAATTCTGCCTACCTCTGTAACTGTCCTGGATCCCGACCGATGGCTCCACCGAGTAAAGACTAGATCTAATTCTGCCTACCTCTGTAACTGTCCTGGCTCCCGACTGCATGCCAAAGCTCCTCTCAGTCGCGACTTTTCAGAGCTGGACTCTGCTGCCTGGAGCTGTGTGTAGGCAAACTCCCACTCCCCGTGACCGCCATGGCGGACTGCCGTGCAGTACACAGTGCTCTGTAGGTCTGGGTGGATCCTTAATACAGGTTGTAGAAACAGAGTGAGTTTAGTTTTACGCCGCGTTTAGCAATTTCACAGCCACATCACGGCTTGGGTTTCAAACATGGTACCCATGTGGGGAATCGAAGTCAAACGCAGTTACCACTAGGCTAACCCGACGCCCCGGAGTAACAAAGTACCCTTACAGCTTTATACGGCTGTGCAGTCTATTACCAAACTCTCTCATTTCAGGGCTCGTAAATTGGTACACGTGCACTTAATCCTATATCCATTTCTGTGGTTCTGTGATTACTGTATCTGTTTTATTAAGATTCAGTAAAGGGTTCACGACGTGTTTTGCTGTAACCAGTTGCAATATGACTACTACCGCCATTGTAATTGTACTGCTATTGTATTTTGTACTGCTGCTAAATGAACATCATTTTCAGTAACCTGCATTGATTTGTAAACCGATTACTTATACAGTTAATATAAAGGAAATCACATTTATTAAACCAGGATGAATAACATGTGGTTGGAAATGGCATACATGATATGTTTAGAATATAGCCATGCAAACTCACAAAACAAAAGTGATTGAGAGAAGAAAAAGTAGACTATATTTTTAGTATCCCGCTTGTGCAAGGACGACACAGAGCAGATCAAATTGAAAACCCGGAAAAGCACGAGTGGTCACGAATAGTTCAACACAGAGACCGGCAGTACTCACAAGTTGTTCTCTGGGTTCCCCATCCATTGCTCGAACTGCTCCTGGGCAAACTGGACACACCCAGGAAGCTCGTGTCTACATGCCAGGGACGCCATTTGGGAGACGGTGAATCTAGGAAACACAAGTTTATACATGCCACAATTCATGCAGGTGAACAGTTGTGTTACTGTTTGTTTTGTCTTATTTGACGTGTTTTGTGTTGTGTAAAAAATCCATGAACGCTATCGGGCCAAGGGCAGAGAACTGAGAAGACTATCGCTAGTCGTGGCGTCCTCCCAACTCACGGCATTGACCTCTGACTTTTCAACTGATAATGTGTTCTTTACTCTCTCTTCACCACAATGTTCAATCAAAACAATACCTAATGATTCATTTCGACAGAAGTTTTGATGACGTTATAATTTTCTCCTTTTTCTCAAGTGTTTTTTGTGGATTCCATCCATGAGATGTTTATTGGCTGGAATTTGTAAGGAATTACAGGAGACAAAAAGTAGTTTGATACCTTGAACCGTTTAACAAGAAGCTAAACCATTTAGTGGGTAACAAACAACGTATTTCAAGACATAATAGCTTTTAATGGTTGGGTAAAATCAGAACACTTTATTCAAAAGCATGTCCTGAAAAAGGAGCAACATGTAACATGAGTAAATAACAATCGTTTTTGTTAAAAGAGTAATCAATCTTTTGGGGAAAACTAACAAATTATTCTTTTAAATTTTAAAGATAATAACTGTTTATTTTTCACATGAACTTACACCTCTACAGGCACCATAGCTTCCGTGATGTTTGTTCCTATTTGGGCGAATGGAGTACTCGCAGTGTTCCGCATGAAGACCTGGAATTGAAGACTCTCATCAAAGGTCAAGGACATTCAGCAATGGCTGTGTTTGAATAAAGCATACTAAGCTCTTCTATGTTGATTTCTCTTTCAATATGCGCCCCTGATTCTGGTTCACCACCAAACAAGAGGGCGATTTTGTGGATCTGGGATGAGACATGCTGACTTGGTTAACTTTGCGTTGTTCGTCATATTAATCATGGTCCACCTTCTTCACAGACCGCCTCCGTGGTGTAGTGGTTAGAGCGTCCGCCCGGAGAGTGGAAAGTCGCGGGTTCGATCCCCGGCCGCGTCATACCAAAAGTCGTTAAAATATGGTACTTGTTGGTCCCTGCCTGGCGCTCGGCATTAATGGGTACAACAAGGACTGATCGGCTTGGAGTCAGTATAATGTGTCTGAGTGGGGTATTCATGCTTCACTGCGGCATGGTATCTCAGCGGGCTAGCACTATAAAAAACAGCTTATGTCTGGGCTAAAACAAGCAGCCACACATTCACACGCATGCACGTCGTCATATGAGCGAAATATTCTCAAGCACGACGTTAAACCCAATTTCACCTCACCTCACCTCAACTCTTCACATGTCTGGAATAGCGGTCAGCCGCAAGCCAATAACACCTTTATACTATGAATGAATAACTGGATGAAAATGTGAAAATATTAACCTGGAATATGCCATACAATGAAGTCCGTTCCAACATTGACTCCACGTAGCCAAGTTCCCGGATGAAAGCTCTCCAAGGGACGTAATCCAGGTCTTTGCTCAGGTAGTTGACAGTTCTGAGGGCAATGGCCTGGTCCAGTAGCCCAGCCCTGAAAAGCAGATGGTTATTTGATGGTTATTGATGGTTAAATCTGGCTGACGTTGTGTGCGCTGACATTCTGATGATGTCATTTCCTGTCATTCATAACAGTTTTGGCACCCGACGGCTTCAACATGTTTCAAGAACAAATAGAATAGGATAAAACTACAAATTGAGACCTAAAAAATGACTGACTGACTGACTGAGTTTGGTTTTACGCCGCATTTAGCAATATTCCAGCAACATCACGGCGGGGGACACCAGAAATGGGCTTCACACATTGTACCAATGTGGGGATTCGAACCCGGGTCTTTGGCGTGACGAACCAACGCTTTAACCACTGGCTACCCCACCGTCTCCCTAAAAAATGAACAAACACTGGTAGCTATATACTTCTCGCTCTCAAGCATCTTTCAAATTATAGGTACTACTATTCTGTAATAAACATACTAAGCATAACCACAACACATAACTAAAAACAACTATAAAACATAACCACGACTGCCTATGCATACAGAACGGTTTAAACAATCAAGTGAAACTTCCATGAATCTTGATACATTGTTTTACGGGTGATTTCGGGACGAACGTACGCCAAGTTTACTCTTTAACAATGATTCTTTTTTCGAGATCTTATGAATTCACTGTGCGTACGCATAAACTGAGTTTCACTCTATACAGAAAAGTTGTTCTCAGATACTAATCAGTTACTAATCAAACAACTCACTTTGCAAGATTCCAAGCATCGTTGATGATCTGAGCTCTGTTGATTGGGTGAATTAGCTGCAAACAGAAGCTGTTCATGAAAAGGTATTCCGTACGTGTCGTATTTGCACTGTTCATTAGCTTAATGTTTTATCAGTATCCTGGGATTCGAACCACAGACCTTCTGATTCGAGGTCAGATGTTCCACGCCATGCTACATATGCTTCCCCCAATACCAGTTTACACCTGGAGGGTTATGAGTGAGTGAGTTTAGTTTTACGCCGCACTCAGCAATATTCCAGCTATAGGGCGGCGGTCTTTAAATATTCGTGTATGGACCAGACAATCCAGTGATCAACGGCATGAGCATCGATCTTCGCAATTGGGAACCGATGACATGTGTCAACCAAGCGATCCTAACCACCCGATCCCATTCGTCGCCTCTTACGACAAGCATGGGTTACTGAACATCAATATTCTAACCCGGACCTTTTAGTATCGGGAGAGGGGCGGTGTGGTAGCTTAATGGTTAAAGCATTGGCTCGTCACGCCGAAGACCCGGGTTCGAATCCCCTCGTACAATGTGTGATGCCCATTTCTGGTGTGCCCCGCCGAAATATACCTGGAATATTGCTGAAAGCAGCGTAAACCCAAACTCAGTCAGTCGGTATGGGGAGACCATATGGAATGGGTTATCATGCTCGCTGGCTTGGTTGGTGGCGACTAAATATGACTAAAGTTCATTGATTGTCTGCTATTAAGCTATATGTTTTTGGTATTCCTTCGTTTAAGCCGTGCGTAAGAAATAACCACGCGATAACTGCAATAGTTTATCGTCGTAAACTGGTTACAGGAAAACATTTGTCTTAGTCCTCGTCTCGTCTCAGTACCCCAACCCTAAGTACCCTTACATTCAAATAAAGAGAGTGAGTGAGTTTAGTTTCAGTTTTAGCAATATTCCAGCAATATAACGGCGGGGGACACCAGAAATGGGCTTCACACATTGTACCCATGTGGGGAATCGAACCCGGGTCTCCGGCGTGACGAGCCAACGCTTTAACCACTAGGCTACCCCACCGCCCCTTCAAACAAAGTAGTAATGAGAGATTGAAGAGGCCGTCCTGAATTCTAAATACCCGACATAATAACAATAGTGAGTGAGTATGGTTTTACGCCGCTTTTAGCAATATTCCAGCAATATCACGGCGGGGGACACCAGAAATGGGCTTTACACATTGTACCCCTGTGGGGATCGAACCCGGGTCTTCGGCGTGACGAGCCAACGCTTTAACCACTAGGCTACTCCACCGCCCCTTCAAACAAAGTAGTAATGAGAGATTGGAGAGACCGTCCTGAATTCTAAATACCCGATATAATAACAATAGTGAGTGAGTATGGTTTTACGCCGCTTTTAGCAATATTCCAGCAATATCACGGCGGGGGACTCCAGAAATGGGCTTCACACATCAAACCGAAACATGAGTCTCATGAACCTATTCAGACAATGACCTACTTTTCAGCCGACCCGAATTTTCTCGTGTGAAAGTGAAAATAGACATCACAAACAACTATGGTTACACTGAATTCCAATTTCATGTATCATAAGAAAATGGTAGTTACAAATGCATTTTAATTCTAAACTTTCATAACATCGTATTTCTGTATTTTATGGCGAGGTGTAGGCAGCATGACCCTAACAAAGACGTCACAGACTGCCCCTGTTTGATGAGGTCGTAAAAAGATTCACAATGCATCTGGCTCACTGGTTACACCTGATATATGTTACTGGTGCTCATTCAGTGTAGTTCGGTAACACACAATGTGATTGATGTACTATCACGTCCGTACCAGACCACCAAACTCTTTTGAGATTTCCACGATTCCAGGTTTGTGTTTTTCAGTGCTCGCTGTACGACAGAGCACGCTGCACGACGTGTTTGCAAGGACTATAAGGAGCGTACTGTTGCAATATATACTCATGCCAATAATAGTTGTCACCCCCTTCAATTTTTTTTATTGGAGAGGGGTGGGGTGTGGGGTGTGGGGTGGTGGTGGGGGGTTTTGGTGTTTGGGGGTTGGGGGTGACAACCATTATTGGCATGAGTACAAGTGCTTAGATGTATCAAATAATACTGATTAATATCATGTATCCAGTTAAAAGAATTGGTCTCAAAATTCTTGACTGGTTATTGCACTAAGTTGCGCAATAGGACGGAACCGAGTCAACAGGAAACGAGACTGTTGTGTAATCAATGTTTTGACTTGGTTCCCATGTGGGGATTAGAACCCTGGTCTTCGGCGTGACGATCGGACGCTTTAACCACCTGGCTACCCCACCGCCCCGGTATAATTATAGTCATGATCATCAAAACATTGACGGTCGGTGATACGCTTGTCATACTTTGTGGATGAGGTGGCTAACCGTATTGATTAATTGACAGGATGTCATCATTCTCGCCCGGGATCGTTGTTCATAATATCAATCACTCGATTATTACAGACACGCAGCTCACAGTTTGAATATTATTGCAATCAAGCGCACACAGGAACCAAAAGCAAGCAACGTTCACTTTTCATTAATACGGACCTCGTGGCTACCGTTGGAAAGGACGTTGATGATGTTGTTCCACGTGTTGACGTCATAGTTGACCCGGAAGTAGCCACACTCTTTCAGGTTGACAATGACCCAACCATCAGCCGGCAAGGCCACATTTAGATCGACGACGACTAAAGGCATCGGAAAAAATAATCGTTTTATTCAGACATCACATATATAATAGTATCGCGGTTCTGATAATAATGCATGTCGGTGAAAATATACCTGGATTGATGGCCCCTACCATGAATGAGAATAGTTTACATGGCATGAAGTGATCGGTCCCTAACTAGGCGCTCCCTTCAACACTCACGTGAGTCTTCGTTGTACTTCATGTAATGTAGATTGGTATAGTTGTAGACTGTGTCAAACTGGGGATCCACACTCGAGGTGTACGTGATAGGGATGGTCCATTTGTACCTTAAATGAAGGTGAATGAATCGGTTTTTATGCCGTTTTTAGCAGTTTTACAGCTAAAACACTAGACCAGAAAGGTACTTCAAATATTGTACTCATGTCACAAATTGAACCCTAACGGCCTCACCAACGTTTGTTTAAATGATGAAAACAAGTGGTAAAAAACATGGGGAGCCGTCAAGCTGAGAACAATGATAGGTAATGACGGGAAAGAAACCAAGACTTCGTGGTCAAAGGCGAACATATTAACCGCCTTGCTACCAGTCAAGCTGAAAACAAGGGTAGGTAATTTCGGGAATCAAAACCGGACTTCCGAACGCAATGCTCACTTGGCTACGCGACCGTTATAATCAGTATGGACGCATGGATACGTAATGACCGAATCGAACCCTGGCCTGGCTTGATGAGCGAACCCTTTAACCGCTTGGCTACCCATGCCTAGCGGCGAGATGGACATGGGGTTATAGAACTCGGGGCACGAAACTGGGAGCAGGCACATTATTTTGCCCACCCCCTTAATGCAGGGCGCCAAGCACGGCAACAACAAGTTTCATTTTTTACGTTTCTTAGTATGACACGGCTTTGACCTTCCGCATCCCAACCAGATGTCCATCCACGGAAGCGATCAGTTAAATTCATAAAACATCAATGGTCATGAAAGTGTATGACGTCACCTAACGTCAAAAAAGAAAAAAAAGAGTCACCCGTAGGCTCCTGTGTCCTGAGAGGCGTTTTCTGCTCCCGAAACAAGAAACCGTTGTTGAGTGAGAGTTATCTTCCCTGTTTCCACGGCAACGTTGACGACAGGGTAGTTCATCTGAGTTACCCAGGGATCCATGATTTCAGTCATGTTGAACATAATGGAATTAGCACTTGCTTCCTGAAACAACAAATTGGTATCGTCTTTAAAACGTAGCATCGTGTATAGCACATAACACACATACATTGGGCGTTATAATATTATATCATATAGAGGGTCTGGCTGGAGAACGGAGGTCAGTGGTTCGATTCCAACCACGCCATACTAAAGGACTTTTAAAATGGTACTTTTTGTTACCCTTCCAGGCAATAGGCATTAAAGGGACCAAATATAGTCACGTACAAAGGAAAGTACACACCTATTGTATTTTTTCCCGTTCTTGTTTTTAGGTGGGGAGGGGGGAGAGGGGAGGTGGTGGTTGGCATTGGTGGGGTTAGTTTAGAAAACAAACAAATAAGAAGGAAACACTTTAAATGTTTCGATCACAAATATTGTGTACGTGGAATATATACAACATTAGAGAGCAATAGAGTTCTGTTGTCAAGTGGAATAAAATATTATTTGCCAAATCACTCACTCCAACAAATACCAAAAATGACTTTTTACCTCTTCACTACAATCTGTATGAGTCGAGTATTCTAAAACACATTAGTCCTGACACGTACAGTAAATGAGTGAGTGAGTGAAGCATAAAGGACTAAGTTCAGTTGTCCAGTTGAACAAATATTAATATACCAAATCACTTTCCGAACAAACAGCCAAAACGTTTTTTTACCTCCGTCAGTGCGTCCCAAAGGTCCCACTGGTCCGTGTTCCCGTACGCATGCGTCGCCAGGTAGCGCTGGAGATGAAGTTAAGGTTTTGAGTAAGAGTGAGTGAGTATAGTTTTACGCCGCTTTCAGCAATGTTCCAACAATATCACGACAGGAGACACCAGAAATGGGCTTTACACATTTTACCAATGTGGAGAATCGAACCCGGGTCTTCAGCGTGATGAGCGGCCTCTTTAACCACTGGGCCACCCCATGGCCCCAATTTGAGTAAGAAATAATCAGCGATGAATACATGTAAACAATGTTTAAAAAATATGGCTTTAAAACTTTGATACCTAAAGTCAGTGGTGATAATGCTGAAAGGCCTATGTGACAGAAAGTAATACTAAAACACACTTATGCTGAAAATGTGCCAGCCGGAATGTACATTATAAAAAACATCGTATAATAATAATTACAAAACCCTTTCAATATAAGACATCTAGTACAGTTATTGTTCAACGTTTAGTTGTTCGTTGTAGGGTATATTCCGAGTTGATATCACATGATTACCACGTGACCGATGATCGAAGGTTGTACATGAACCTTCAGGTTGTAAAATCCTGTTCACAAATGTAACGAAATTATCTTTCGATATTCTCAGAGAATTACTTAGCTGAAATATTGATGACAATGTTGAATGAATCTTGTGACCACTGACACTATGTGGTAACTGTAAGTGCGAGCAGGATAAAATAACAACGTAGCAATGAAACGTTACACTGACGTCATAATGCCAAGTATGTACACGTTATATTGACCAGTCCAAATTCCGGACATATGTTACATTTGATCACTTTCTAAGTGGCATTGTGTATCAATAGCTTTCGGCCGTTTGAGCCGAGCCAATTACACTTATCAGAGGGGTACTCAAAGTCCGTGGTCTAGGCTACCAGTTGTCCGACTTGCATTTAAGTGGAAGCCGCGGTGGCTGAGCGGGTTAGGCGGCTGACTTTGTGTGTTAGCGATTTGGTGCCTGACTGTGATGTTGTGGGTTCGAATCCCAGATGGGACTCAAGCCAACAAAAGTACTAGAATCTGTACTTTACCAAGAAGGTGAAATCCCTAATATAACATGTGTTACATATTGACCTGGGCCTAGATTTTCAAAGCTCTCTTAGCGCTAAGATAGTCGTAAGTGCCATACATTAACATTAACTTACGACTATCTTAGGGCTAAGAGAGCTTCGAAAATCCAGGCCCTGGTCCAGAGAAATGAGGAGGAGGAGAAACTCACATTTAATCCTTTGATGAACAGTTCTTGTCCCATCGCCAGATGCATCAACCGTATTATAGCGGAACCCTGAAAGAAATGCTTACTTGATTGACAACAACAACCAAACAAACAACAAAAGCCAGCAACAACAATAATAATCACGACTTTAGAACAGTCCGGTAGAAGAAAAAAATACGAAGTGAGTCCGTTTGATCGCCCTTTAGTGTGAGTTTGGCTTTTAGTGTCATGGTGCTATTTCATCCAAAAGCATGTAGTAGGAATAAACTCAGGTTTCAGCGCAGTTTTGTGTACGCATTGGGAATCAACCTTTGTTGGGTCGCGCGAACACTGTAACCAGTCGGCTAACCCACCATCCCTCAAGGCGTCTAAAGTTCATTGGGGTAAATCATTAGTAAAATGTTGGGGTAGTATGCCCGAGAGTTGGGCCTATTCATGACTACATTGTGAGAAGAGTCTCTGGATATGTTACATCGTTTGTTCCAGTGATCAGCACCATGAGCAATTGGGATACGATGATATGTGTCAACCCAGTCAGCGAGCTGACCACCCGATCCCGTCCGTCGCCTCTTTCGACAAGCATAGTTTACTGAAGATCAATTCTGACCCGGATCTTCAAGGGTCGCCTCTTATGATAAGAATGGTTTACTGAAGATCAATTCTGACCCGGATCTTCGGGGTCGCCTCATATGAAAAGCATGGGTTACTGAAGGCCAATTCTGACCCGGATCTTCAAGGGTCGCCTCTTATGATAAGCATGGGTTACTGAAGATAAGTTCTGACCTGGATCTTCAAGGGTCCCCTCTTATGATAAGCATGGGTTACTGAAGATCAGTTCTGACCCGGATCTTCACCGTCATGTTACGGCAAGACGACACCTATAACTTTTGTAAGGTCATGTAAATATGATTACGTGTTACGGTTACCTGCTGACAATCCACAGGTTACTTGATAATAACCAAAGTTAGCGATTTGTCTTATCATCAAAAGTGCTCTCACCTTAGAATACGTCACTGCGTCAAATGTCGCGCTGATCTCACCAGGAGACATGACGTCGGTGGTAAGTGGATGCGATGACCGCAAAGCATCTGGCCCCATGACGCCGTGCATGTCCCCAGAGACAAATAGATCCAGCTACATAGGAAGTATACAATGTCATGTAGACGTGAGATAAGGAGAGCCAGCTACACTGGTAATATACATGTAGACGTGAGATAAGGAGATCCAGCTATACAAGGAATATACATGTAGACGTGAGATAAGGTGGTCCAGCTACAGAGGGAATATACATGTAGACGTGAGATAAGGAGATCCAGCTATACAAGGAATATACATGTAGACGTGAGATAAGGAGATCCAGCTATACAAGGAATATACATGTAGACGTGAGATAAGGTGGTCCAGCTACAGAGGGAATATACATGTAGACGTGAGATAAGGAGATCCAGCTATACAAGGAATATACATGTAGACGTGAGATAAGGAGATCCAGCTATACAAGGAATATACATGTAGACGTGAGATAAGGAGGTCCAGCTACACAAGAAATATACATGTAAACGTGACATAAGGAGATCCAGCTACACAGGGAATATACATGTAGACGTGAGATAAGGAGATCCAGCTACATGGGGAATATACATGTAGACGTGAGATAAGGAGATCCAGCTACATAGGGAATATACATGTAGACGTGAGATAAGGAGATCCAGCTACATGGGGAATATACATGTAGACGTGACATAAGGAGATCCAGCTACATGGGGAATATACATGTAGACGTGAGATAAGGAGATCCAGCTATACAAGGAATATACATGTAGACGTGAGATAAGGAGATCCAGCTATACAAGAAATATACATGTAGACGTGAGATAAGGAGATCCAGCTATACAAGAAATATACATGTAGACGTGAGATAAGGAGGTCCAGCTATACAAGGAATATACATGTAGACGTGAGATAAGGAGATCCAGCTATACAAGAAATATACATGTAAACGTGAGATAAGGAGATCCAGCTACATGGGGAATATACATGTAGACGTGAGATAAGGAGATCCAGCTACATGGGGAATATACATGTAGACGTGAGATAAGGAGATCCAGCTACATAGGGAATATACATGTAGACGTGACATAAGGAGGTCCAGATACATGGGGAATATACATGTAGACGTGACATAAGGAGATCCAGCTACATACAAGGAATATACATGAGATAAGGAGATCCAGCTACATAATATACATGTAGACGTGAGATAAGGAGATCCAGCTACATGGGAATATACATGTAGACGTGAGATAAGGAGATCCAGCTACACAAGGAACATACATGTAGACGTGAGATAAGGAGATCCAGCTACATGGGAATATACATGTAGACGTGAGATAAGGAGATCCAGCTACATGGGAATATACATGTAGACGTGAGATAAGGAGATCCAGCTATACATGGGGAATATACATGTAGACGTGAGATAAGGAGATCCAGCTATACAAGGAATATACATGTAGACGTGAGATAAGGAGATCCAGCTACATGGGGAATATACATGTAGACGTGAGATAAGGAGATCCAGCATACAAGGAATATATATGTAGACGTGAGATAAGGAGATCCAGCTACATGGGGAATATACATGTAGACGTGAGATAAGGAGATCCAGCTACATGGGGAATATACATGTAGACGTGAGATAAGGAGATCCAGCTATACATGGGAATATACATGTAGACGTGAGATAAGGAGATCCAGCTACATGGGGAATATACATGTAGACGTGAGATAAGGAGATCCAGCTACATGGGGAATATACATGTAAACGTGAGATAAGGAGATCCAGCTACACAAGGAATATACATGTAGACGTGAGATAAGGAGATCCAGCTACATGGGGAATATACATGTAGACGTGAGATAAGGAGATCCAGCTACATGGGGAATATACATGTAGACGTGACATAAGGAGATCCAGCTACATGGGGAATATACATGTAGACGTGAGATAAGGAGATCCAGCTACATGGGGAATATACATGTACACGTGAGATAAGGAGATCCAGCTACATGGGGAATATACATGTAAACGTGACATAAGGAGATCCAGCTACATGGGGAATATACACGTAGACGTGAGATAAGGAGAGCCAGCTACATGGGGAATATACATGAAGAGGTGAGATAAGGAGATCCAGCTACATGGGGAATATACATGTAGAGGAGAGATAGGAGATCCAGCTACATAGGGAATATACATGTAGACGTGAGATAAGGAGGTCCAGCTACATGAGGAATATACATGTAGACATGAGATAAAGAGAGACAGCTACATGGGGAATATACATGTAGAGGTGAGATAAGGAGGTCCAGCTACACAGGGAATATACATGTAGACGTGAGATAAGGAGAGCCAGCTACATGGGGAATATACATGTAGACGTGAGATAAGGAGATCCAGCTACACAGGGAATATTTATGTAAACGTGAGATATGGAGGTCCAGCTACATGGGGAGTATACATGTAGACGTGAGATAAGGAGATCAAGCTATACAAGGAATATACATGTAGACGTGAGATAAGGAGGTCCAGCTATACCAGGAATATACATGTAGACGTGAGATAAGGAGATCCAGCTATACAAGAAATATACATGTAAACGTGAGATAAGGAGATCCAGTTACATGGGGAATATACATGTAGACGTGAGATAAGGAGATCCAGCTACATGGGGAATATACATGTAGACGTGAGATAAGGAGATCCAGCTACATAGGGAATATACATGTAGACGTGACATAAGGAGGTCCAGATACATGGGGAATATACATGTAGACGTGACATAAGGAGATCCAGCTACATGGGGAATATACATGTACACGTGAGATAAGGAGATCCAGCTACATGGGGAATATACATGTAGACGTGAAATAAGGAGATCCAGCTACATGGGGAATATACATGTAGACGTGACATAAGGAGATCCAGCTACATGGGGAATATACATGTAAACGTGACATAAGGAGATCCAGCTACACAGGGAATATACATGTAAACGTGAGATAAGGAGATCCAGCTACATGGGGAATATACATGTAGACGTGACATAAGGAGATCCAGCTACATGGGGAATATACATGTAGACGTGACATAAGGAGATCCAGCTACATGGGGAATATACATGTAGACGTGAGATAAGGAGATCCAGCTACATGGGGAATATACATGTAAACGAGATAAGGAGATCCAGCTACATGGGGAATATACATGTAGACGTGAGATAAGGAGATCCAGCTACACAAGGGAATATACATGTAGACGTGAGATAAGGAGATCCAGCTACATGGGGAATATACATGTAAACGTGAGATAAGGAGATCCAGTTACATGGGGAATATACATGTACACGTGACATAAGGAGATCCAGCTACATGGGGAATATACATGTACACGTGAGATAAGGAGATCCAGCTACATGGGGAATATACATGTAAACGTGAGATAAGGAGAGCCAGGTACATGGGGAATATACATGTAAACGTGAGATAAGGAGATCCAGCTACATGGGGAATATACATGTAGACGTGAGATAAGGAGATCCAGCTACATGGGGAATATACATGTAAACGTGAGATAAGGAGATCCAGCTACATGGGGAATATACATGTAGACGTGACATAAGGAGATCCAGCTACATGGGGAATATACATGTAAACGTGAGATAAGGAGATCCAGCTACATGGGGAATATACACACGCGAGATAGATAAGAGATCCAGCGTGGAATATACATGTAAACGACATAAGGAGATCCAGCTACATGGGGAATATACACGTAGACGTGAGATAAGGAGAGCCAGCTACAAGGGGAATATACATGAAGAGGTGAGATAAGGAGATCCAGCTACATGGGGAATATACATGTAGAGGAGAGATAGGAGATCCAGCTACATGAGGAATATACATGTAGACATGAGAGATAAGAGAGGTGAGATAAAGAGAGACATGGGGAATATACATGTAGAGGTGAGATAAGGAGGTCCAGCTACACAGGGAATATACATGTAGACGTGAGATAAGGAGAGCCAGCTACATGGGAATATACATGTAGACGTGAGATAAGGAGATCCAGCTACACAGGAATATTTATGTAAACGTGAGATATGGAGGTCCAGCTACATGGGGAGTATACATGTAGACGTGAGATAAGGAGATCCAAGCTATACAAGGATACATGTAGACGTGAGATAAGGAGGTCCAGCTACACCAGAAATATACATGTAGACGTGAGATAAGGAGGTCCAGCTACACAGGGAATATACATGTAAAGGTGAGATAAGGAGATCCAGCTATACAGGGAATATACATGTAGACGTGAGATAAGGAGATCCAGGTACACAGGGAATATACATGTAGACGTGAGATATGGAGGTCCAGCTACACAGGGAATATACATGTAGACGTGAGATAAGGAGGTCCAGCTACACAGGGAATATTTATGTAGAGATGAGATAAGGAGATCAAGCTATACAAGAAATATACATGTAGACGTGAGATAAGGAGGTCCTGCAACACAGGGAATATACATGTAGACGTGAGATAAGGAGAGCCAGGTACACAGGGAATATTTATGTAAACGTGAGATATGGAGGTCCAGCTACATGGGGAGTATACATGTAGACGTGAGATAAGGAGATCAAGCTATACAAGGAATATACATGTAGACGTGAGATAAGGAGGTCCAGCTACACAGGAAATATACATGTAGACGTGAGATAAGGAGGTCCAGCTACACAGGGAATATACATGTAAAGGTGAGATAAGGAGATCCAGCTATACAGGGAATATACATGTAGACGTGAGATAAGGAGATCCAGGTACACAGGGAATATACATGTAGACGTGAGATATGGAGGTCCAGCTACACAGGGAATATACATGTAGACGTGAGATAAGGAGGTCCAGCTACACAGGGAATATTTATGTAGAGATGAGATAAGGAGATCAAGCTATACAAGAAATATACATGTAGACGTGAGATAAGGAGGTCCTGCAACACAGGGAATATACATGTAGACGTGAGATAAGGAGAGCCAGGTACACAGGGAATATTTATGTAGCGTGAGATATGAGGTCCAGCTACACAGGGAATATACATGTAGACGGGAGATAAGGAGATCCAGCTACACAGGGAATATGCATGTAGACGTGAGATAAGGAGATCCAGTTACATAGGGAATAGACATGTAAACGTGAGATAAGGAGATCCAGCTACACAGGGAATATTTATGTAGACGTGAGATATTGAGGTCCAGCTACATGGGGAATATACATGTAGACGTGAGATAAGGAGGTCCAGCTACACAGGGAATATTTATGTAGAGATGAGATAAGGAGATCCAGCTATACAAGGAATATACATGTAGACGTGAGATAAGGAGGTCCAGCTACACAGGGAATATGCATGTAGAGATGAGATAAGGAGATCCAGCTATACAAGAAGACATACATGTAGACGTGATGATAAGGAGGTCCAGCAACACAGGAATATACATGTAGACGTGAGGTAAGGAGATCCAGCTATACATGTAGAGGAATATCCAGCCAATAGGAATATGTAGCGTGAGATAAGAGGTCCAGCTACATAGGGAATATACATGTAGACGTGAGGTAAGGAGATCCAACTACACAGGAATATGCATGCAGACGTGAGATAAGGAGATCCAGCTACCTAAGAAATATACATGTAGACGTGAGATAAGGAGATCCAACTATACAAAATGTATATACATGCAGACGAGAGATAAGGAGATCAAGATATACAAGAAATATACATGTAGACGTGAGATAAGGAGGTCCAGCTACACAGGGAATATACAGGCAGACGTGAGATAAGGAGATCCAGCTATACAAGAAATATGCATGTAGACGTGAGATAAGGAGGTCCAGCTACACAGGGAATATACATGTAAAGGTGAGATAAGGAGATCCAGCTACATAGGGAACATTTATGTAGACGTGAGATAAGGAGATCCAGCTACATGGGGAATATACATATAGTCGTGAGATAAGGAGATCCAGCTACAGGGGATATATATGTAGACATGAGATAGTTATCAGGGGAGAATACATGTAGATATCGGTGATATCGTTAAGAAATATAATTCTTGGTGACCATATTTTAACAACATATATTTTAACTTTGAATATACTATGGAACGATTTGCTATATTTTGGTTCAGATAGCAAACGACCTACCGATCTCCACGTTGGGTTTAACTCTCCGACGATGTGATAATCCCAGAACGAGGCGAAGGCTTCATTCAGCCAGAGCCAGTTCCACCATTTAGGAGACACCAGGTTGCCGAACCACTGCAGAATAAAAATACTGATTAACAGCCAGATCACAGCGTCGGGTGAGATGTTGTTAAATACTTCATCCTCGAGGACTGTGATTATTTGGGTTGAATTCTCATTCCATGTCTATCCGTGAAGATTTGGGTTAGAATTGGTCTTCAGCAACCCATGCTTGTAAGAGGCGACTAACGGAATCGGGTGGTCAGGCTCGTTGACTTGGTTGACACACGTCATTGGTTCCCAATTGCGTAGATCGATGCTCATGTTGTTGATCACTGGATTGTCTGGACCAGACTCGATTATTTACAGACCGCCGCCATATAGCTGGAATACTGCTGAATGCGGAGTTAAACAACAATCAAACCAAACACATTATTCCAGGTCCTATGGTGTTGGTGCTTTTGGTTTGGGAACAAATGATCTCCTGTCCTTATTGGACGTATTTGGCAATTGCTATTGGATCGGATTTTCTGTTCTGCTGAATATTGAAGATAATAACTTTAAAGATAAAAATAAATAAATTGCAACAATGCAAACAAAAACACAAAACACAGAACAAAGGTAATGTTTGCGTGGATTTGGTGAACCCCAAGAGGAGTTTTTTTGTGTTGATAAACCTTAAACCAATTAATCAGGGTAAACTGTGATTCAAATCCAACGGACGCAATCCTGTACTGTGACTGAAAACGGACGTGATAGGGCCCGTAAGTAGGCCACGGCACTTCGCCAGACCTTAGTATTTCTGATGACAAACAACGTTTCATACGGTTAGGAATGGTCTCATGGTTGTCAGTTGACAGTAAGGAACCGCTAATCCTTGCAGGAATAACAAAATTCCGATCTAAACATCAGTCAACCATTACGACTGTCAACAGCTGTGACACCCAAGATGGTTGTACACTTGGTCCAGCCTAGTAAAGTCATATTTGACGGTCACGCAATTTTAAACAAGAATTGGTTCTTGAACATACGCTTGTCACCAAAAATCTGGTACCGGAAGTAGGCTAGGCCCCTAAGTCTCGCATATCGCAAGTTGGCGCGCAAAGGGAGCCGGGAACCAGCTTAGTACCGGGAGTAGCGTCTTGCTAGACTTTCAGGCACTATTGGCCTGTCTCACATTCTTTGAACCTCAGTATTTACACTTCCGTCCAACCCTTCCTGCATTGCAAAAGCCAAATGATATATACAATCGCTGCCTGGCTCGTTTCTTCCCTAACCAAAATGGCGGCTGATGGAAGGAACAAGACTGGATCAGCTGGGAAATGGGTAAATGCAGCTTACAACCCAGCATCCTCACGTTGTTCCAAAGTAGTCATCCAGTCGCACATTCATCTTCTGCTACGTTCTTCTCTAGAGCAAGGCGAGCCAATATTATATTCTCGGCGCCATTTTGAAGGAGTGATCTTTGAACAAGCCCGACACAAGTAATTAAGCTGCTTACTCAGAACGATTCCTGTTTTGAACGCACCCATTGTGTCAAGATCATTTCTTGGAATATTTCTGACAAACCATTCCTGAAATAGCTGATGGTTTAGACACGCTGTTGAGCGGAAACAAGTATTGCTTACATACCATATGAGCTACTTCGTGTGATACGACGATGCCGATCCAGTTCTCATCGGAGGCTGAGGAGACCCCGGGTTCATACAGCAGAGTCTCCCTGTAAGTGATGAGACCCCAGTTCTCCATGGCTCCAGCGTTGAAGTCGGGGATGGCGATATTGTCTGAAATGTACATGTCGCCCGTCCTAGCAGATGTTGTAGAATAGGTGAAGTCACATTTGTGTGATTTGTAATAACAGTGGTGATTATGGTTTGGTAGTTTATTTGTTTTTTAAAGCTGTAATCAACAAGATGCCAACTATTTACCGGTGGTCTGTCAATAATCGGTCTGGACCAGGAACCCAGTGACTGGCATCATGAACATCGATCTACACAACAGGGATGCGATGATGTGTCAACCAAGTTAGCGAGTCCGACCACCCAATGCCGTTAGTTGCCTCTCACAACAAGCAGTGTCGCCTCTCACAACCAGCAGTGTCGCCTCTTACAGCAAGCATTTGTTGCTAAGACCAGTTCTAAATCCCGAAACTTCGTGAAGATCCGGGTTAGAATTGATCATCAGTAACCCATGCTTGTCGCAAGAGGCGACGAACGGGGTCGGGTGGTCCTGCTCGCTGACTGGGTTGACACATATCATCGGTTCCCAATTGCGCAGATCGATGTTGATCACTGGATTGTCTGGTCCAGACTCGAATATTTACAGACCGTCGCCATATAGCTGGAATATTGCTGAGTGTGGCGTAAAACTGAAATCACTCACTCACTCTAAATTCCGATCTTCACGGGTAGGCTGATTATAGAGAAGAAAATAGACACCCATAGTGACCAAGGGGTGTGGTGTACATGTGAGTGATATTATGACCAGCCAGCAACCATGGTACGATAAGGCACAATCAACCATTGTTGAGCGTATTTCTCATTTAACGCCATGGTCAACACTATTCCAGCTTCATGACGACATTGCGGTTGAACCAGATTAACCAGTGAGTGATATGATGAGCAACAATCAGCATCGTCAGGCCCTACCACCATCAATCTCACATTAATCTTTACCGGCCTGCGTAGTAGTCAATTTTAGCTAGGAATTCCCTAAGGGATCACCCATGTAGTACATGAACGATCTGATTGGTTGGATGACGTCACGTACCTAGCTTGTCGTACATACATGGCTTACTGAACGATCTGATTGGTTGGATGACGTCACTTACCTAGCCTGTACACGTACTGCTCAAACAACGATCTGATTGGTGGGATGACGTCACATACCTAGCTTGTCGTACACGTATGGAGGAGTAAAGTACTCGGCGTATCTGTTGAAGATCCGGACGCCGTGCTCCTGTGCTGTGGCGGTAAACTCGAGCCTCTCAGTCCACGCCCAAGTCCGGTACTGTGTAGTAGACAATGTATTAACGCCATTCAGTATGTGTTTCGAGTGAGTGAGTGGGTTAGTTTAGATTTACGCCATGTTTAGGAATATTTTGGCTATATCATAGCGGGGAGCACCAGAACTGGGCCTCACTCATTGTACCGGGTACTTGGCGAGACGAGAAAATGCTTTAACTACTATATATAGCTAGATTAACCCTAAAACCTAAAGTGTTTTTCGGAGTTAGGGACCGTTGTTAAAATATTCAGGAATGATTGGGTGAGTCAGTATGGTTTAACACCGCTTTTAGCAATATTCCAGCAATATCACGTCGGGGGACAACAGAAATGGGCGTCACACATTGTACCCATCTGGGGAATCGAACCCAGGTCTTCAGCGAGCCAAGCGGACACTTTAACCAGGCTACCCCACCGCCCCAGGAATGGTTGGATAAAATCCACAAGATTAAGACAAAGCCATATATTAGTTTTGAAGTTTACCGTTTACCATTGTACAATAGATATTCAGGGTGGGGAGGGGTAAGTCGGGATTTGCATGGCAGCCAGAGTTAATGCTGCTTGATTGTCTTAGAAAAACGGACCCGTAAAGATTATCATTGTGGTGTTTTGTTTCGTTAGTTTTTAATTTCGCAATTCACTAACCGAGTCACAAAGTTACCTCCCTTAGTTAAAAAGCACATGGAAACAGACCGCAATGGCAAACTTGCAACAGGACCGGGATTCCGTCCCACTAACAGTGAAAATAGGCCACCACAGTGTATGTATATGATGCATATGATTAATAATATTGCCTAGATGTTGTTTCTATAACAGTTTTTACATGTCAATTTCCATAAGGTTTGTTTATGTGTCAAAATGTGCACATAAGTTTTTCATTCCCGCGCAGTGCAGCGTGGCGATTCAAATTATTTTTCAGTAAGTTAGTATTATAAATGGTATTTTATATTTAATTCTAGTGTTAGCGTATTCTAGTGTAGCGTAAACAGTGATACTTTCACAAAGAGTTAATTATTGTCAGAATTTGTCAAATTGAAGCGCACGTACAATGTCAAGATATCAGCCACGCCAACGCTTCACTGTAGTTATGCAGTCGTTGTAACGTTCAATTCTGTATTATCAAAATGCTTCTAGATTGTGTTCTGACTGGAACTTTTTGTTTGCCTTCCGCGTATTATCACGGACAGGAATAACGTTTACGTCATCGTAAAGTGCTGTCGTCTGTACAATCATGTTCTGTATTCCAACAAATGTCACAGCTAGTACAGGCACTGACAGCAGACGCTAGACACTAGACACTAGACGCTAGGCACTAGGCGCTAGACAATAGACGCTAGACACTAGACACTAGACGCTAGACACTAGGCACTAGACACTAGACACTAGACACTAGACGCTAGACGCTAGACGCTAGGCACTAGGCGCTAGACACTAGACGCTAGACACTAGACGCTAGACACTAGACGCTAGACACTAGACGCTAGGCACTAGGCGCTAGACACTAGATGCTAGACACTAGACGCTATACGCTAGGCACTAGGCGCTAGACACTAGACACTAGACGTTAGGCACCAGACGCTAGACACTAGACACTAGACGCTAGACACTAGACACTAGACGCTAGAAAGTGATAATACAGTGACAGGTTTGTATTACAGTGACAGATTTGTTTGTTTGTTGTTTAACGCCGCACTCAGCAATATTCCAGCTATATGGCGGCGGTCTGTAAATATATAGTCTGAACCTGACAATCCTGTGATCAACAGCATGAGCATCGATCTAAGCAACTGGGACACGATGACGTGTCAACCAAATCAACGAGCCTGACCACCCGATCCCGTTAGTCGTCTCTTACGACAAAAATGGGCTGCTGAAGACCAATTCCTACCCGGATCTTCCTGATCTTACAAGATCGCTTTGCCTGACAATCGAGTGATCAGAAAAATGAGCATCGATCTTCGCAACTGGGATATGATGATATGTGTTGACCAAGTCCGCGAGCTTGATCACCCGTCCCATATGTCGCCTTTTAAGACAAACATCGTTTGCTGAAGATCAATTCTAACCCGGATCTTCAGGGGTTAAGGTGCCAAGTGATCAAGGAATTGCATTGTCTACATACTAACCGTGACGTTACTGGCAAGGTCCTCCACATACTCGTAGTCACACACTATAAATGCCAGAAGGTATGTTGACATGGTAACAGTTCTCTCGTACATGTGTCTCGTCATTCCTGGAACCCTAGACAAAATGACAATAAAATATGAAAGGAAGGATACTTTATGGATGACAAGTTCCTTTATATGTTATGATGCGTGAGTGAGTGAGTTTAGTTTTACGACGCTTTTAGCAATATTCTACCATTATCACGACGGGGGAACGAGAAATGGGCTTCACACATTGTACCCATGTGGGAAATCGAACCCGGGTCTTCGGCGTGACGAGCGAACGCTTTAACCATTAACCGACGTTTCGGCAAGAGTGAGAATGGTATGAGAATCTATACCAAAATCATAACATAATAAAGCATTTTTTCTTTCTCATTACTAATCAACTTCTAAAATGCAATCGAATAATGAAATATGTTCAACTTTGCAAAGTGCACATTTTTCACAGTACCGAACACATATGCAGACATGTGATTTTATGCGCATTACGTCATGTGACATACAGATCGGCTTGTGGCAGTGGTCGCTGGGGTTTCTATTTATAGGTTAGATTCCTATGACGTCACACTTGATGCCATGTTTTGTCCTATGTATCCACGGGGTCTTTGAATGTTGTCAAAGTGACAATTATTTGACAATCACATGATGTGAGCTTTCAACTGAAAATGCCCTGAACTGGGCACCGTCTACTCATACCACGGTATATTTAACGAAGTTCGCAGAAGAGTGACGGAAACAAGTCTAATGGTCTGATACACCATACGGCGTCACGATGTGACATCATTATCAAGCACTTTCTGTACTATGACAATGCCGTGCCATGCAAATCTAGAGCAGAATTATTTTTAAGCAGTTCCTGCAACATTATATGTTTCGGAAACAAACAAACAAACAAACAAACAACAACAAAACCTATACAGAACAAGAAGACACAGTCATCAATATCCCCCGCAACGGCAAAATACTCTTTATGAATATGTCTACTAGTTATGATCTTGTCAAATGTTTTGGAATGTATATAACAAAGAGTACTGAAAGGTTTTAAGATCTGTTCCAGAGAGGAGCACTACCACCAAATTCAGATGAAGCCTAACTTGTTGCCATGGAAATGCAACAGGATGACATCCTCATAGTCACAGTCTAAGTCATGTTTCCATGGAAACAGGAAAATATTAATTTCATATCTGCGTCTAAACCCCCAAAGGTAAATCTAGGGATCATGCTTGAAATATGTACCAAGTTTGATTAAGCTGGCATGTATAGTTTAGGAGATCTGCTCCGGACAAGATGACATTCTCATAGCCACAGGCTAAGTCACGTTTCCATGGAAACCACAAAAAAATAAAATTCGCATCTGGATCTAACCCCCAAAAGGCACATCTAGGGATCATGGTTGACGTGTGTACAAAGCTTGGTTAAGCTATCACGAATATTTTAGGAGAAATGCTTCGGACAAAGTGTGGGGGACAAAGTGTGAGGGACGCACGGACGGACGCACGGAACTCGTTTCTATGGCCCCTGCAACTTCGTTGTTGCGGGGGATAACAAACGAACAACGGGCGTGATCCGTTTTATAGAAGAAAGAAGACGAAGAAAAATAATTTATTCAAGTGTCTGGCGATACAAGATTGATGTACATACATACAAGTAACACTCGCCCGGCCAACTAATTATCATTAAGTTCAACACTTCTTTGATTGGCATTCTAGAAATTGAGGAAATGAAGAAATGAGGACAATTTTACAACGTCGCCTATACAGAATAAAGAAGTTTAATATCCATAAAATTGTCCTCATTCTTCATTCAATTAACACTTGATAAAAGCACTATGAGTGCTAAAATAAAATGTACATAACATCACTAGATACACATTCTTAAAATATCAGATAAAAAGTTAAAATATCAATTGAGGTGGGAGTGGTGAATACTTTTAACACAGTTGAAATAAGTGCAGGTACGGAATTCGATAAATATAACTAGCCTACCCTGTCGGTTCCGTGTTCTTCAGCTTGTTGTTAGACAAGGCAGTGTAGTTTCTGCCGGTATCTTCCTTCACTACCAGGGTGATGTCAAACTGGGCCTTTAGCGCAGGTTCGTCAAAACACGGGAACGCCTTCCTCGCGTGTGGCGCTTGGAACTGGGTTGTTGCCAGGTAACTACAAACAGAATATGAAACTATTTAAACACTTATACAATATTTGAAACACACATGTTGTATTGAACCGGACATGACCCAGTGATCCATTTCTCTTGTCCGGGCCAGAATCTCTGGTCTCGTGTTCGAATCCCACACTGGCCTTGACTATATTCAAAGGTGGTTACTGTAATTCTATATCCTTAATGGGTAAATGGGGTTTTCGTCTATGTCACTGGTTGGTTGGATTGTTTGTTTGTTGTTTAACGCCGCACTCAGCAATATTCCAGCTATATGGGGGCAGTCCGTAAATAGTCGACTCTGGAAGAGACAATCCAGTGATCAGCATCATGAGCATCGATCTGCGCAATTCGTCATTGATCACAGCTACAACTTGACCCAGGAGCCACAGCCGCCTAAGCCTTGCTGGACCTGGTGGGCGTGCCCTATACCCTGCGTTCGAATCCGAGATTTGATTTGGTTTCTAGCTTTGTTAGCATTATGAGTGAGTGAGTGAGTGAGTGAGTGAGTGAGTGAGTGAGTGAGTGAGTGAGTGAGTGAGTGAGTGAGTGAGTGAGTGAGTGAGTGTGTGAGTGAGTGAGTGAGTGAGTGAGTGAGGTTAGTTTTACGCCGCACTCAGCAATATTCCAGCTATAAGGCAGCGGACTGTAAACAATCGAGTCTGGACCAGACAATCCAGTGTACAACAGCATGAACATCGATCCACGTAATTGCTATGAAATGTGTCAACCAAGACCTCGAGCCTGACCACCCGACCCGTTAGTCGCCTCTTACGACAAGCATGGGTTACTGAAAGCCAATTTCAACCCTGATCTTCACGGTTCGCTGAGAGCAAGCGGATCGTAGCATGATACCTTGTTCAAGCAGGTAGCATGGAGCTTGATGATGATGATGATGCCACTATACGCTAAGTCTGTGCCATTTGGTTTCATCTCAAACCGCCCTTACCCACCCACTCACAGGTCGTGAAATACTGACATACTGTTGACATACCTGAAACAAAATTCACTTCCTTTCACATGAAACTAGTGCTGTTCAAATCGGCTTTACAAAAATCAAATCACTCACTCACTTACAGTCGGATCACTGCCGTTAACGTGTAAAACTTGACCTCACCCAACATACATAAATCGTCTGACTAACTACAGTGATTTCTGATTTACTGGGTTAACGAGATTACCTGGGCTTACGGGGGCGGTGGGGTAGCCTAATGGTTAAAGCGTTGGCTCGTCACGCCGAAGACCCGGGTTCGAATCCCCACATGGGCACAATGTGTGACGCCCATTTCCTGTGTTCCCCGCCGTGATGTTGCTGGAATATTGCTAAAAGCGGCGTAAAACCATACTCAGTCAGTCAGTCAGACCTAGGTTTAAGAAAACAATACAGCAATACATCGTTTTAAAACCACTTCTCTCCCACTTTACAGAACAAGTTCTTTGTGTGTTTCGGTATCACACTGACGCTGATTCGTTAACAGAGAAATGAAAGGTATGTTTCATTTACATGACATACTCCGAAACGTCGTGTTACTTACAAAAAAGAAGTTGACATCCATAAATCTTGCCTTTCTTAAAAAGAATGATGATGGTGATGGTGATGATGATGATGATGATGATGATGATGATGATGATGGTGATGATGATGATGATGGTGATGATGATGATGATATGTAAACGTAATGTCTAAAAATGCATCTTACATTTTTTCATTGTTTTCCTCGTAGAAGCTCAGGTAAAGACCCGTTCCATCTTGGGTCAGGGGGCCACTGAAGGTGATGCCGATCCAGTAGTGATGACCAACTTCCATCACTTCACCAAGATGGAGAGTAAGGAAGTGCCGCAGTTCCTCGTACGTCACGTCTACGGTGATCCCGGCACTTGTGTTGACATTGAGCACCGTCACTGACGCCGTGTCGATCACCAGCGTTGGGTGAGCATGGAGGACAATAGAGTCGGAGGCAGACTGGGCTATTGTGTGTATTGCTACCGACCCGTTGAAATCAAACAAAGAGTCATTTGTGCCGTAGATATTAGGCTGAAGCTCAACGGAATAGAGGTATGGCACAACGGTGATTGGAAGACGGTAGTTGCTTGGTGTTTCGGTGGTTGGCGTCGGTGTTGGTGTGGACACGGATGGGGTTGATGCGGTGGTGTTGCCGTGACTCTCAGAGCAGGCCGTACCTATAAGTGTATGTTATTATAAACAAATTGTATGACACTTTTGCATTTGATTGGCTAACTAGGGAAATATTTTCACAAATATGAATTAGGCCACGGCCACTAATAGTCTTTTGTTACCTGGATGATAATAGAATGAGTGGGGCTGGTTTTGAATTATTGCACTGTTTGATGTAACTAATTTCGTCAATAGACACTGGATTAGGGTTGATATTTTCAAGATTCTTGACCCCACCAGTTGCAGCAGTGATAGAAGAAGGATGGTGAAGGTGAAGGTGAAGGTTTGAGGTGGAAGGTGGAAGGTGGAAGGTGGAAGGTGGAATGTGGAATGTGAAAAGTGGAAGGTTGAAGGTTAAGGTTAAAGGTTGTAGGTAGGAGGTGAAGGTGAAGGTGGAAGGTGAATGTGGGGCAACTTGGTACGAATAAAAGCATTGCTGAAGAGTAAAGTGCTGAAAATTAACGAAATAACGCGCAATTTTCACTAATTTCTAATTCAAATTTGGCAGTCTTCCAGTTACGATCATCAAGGCAGAGATTGCCACGGGAATCGGCATATGGATCCTAACAATGAACATATTCTATATTAGCACGAAAACAAGTAATTTTGATCTTGCGCCTTCACAGCAGAGTTTATTATTTCAGTAATATTCTTGCAACATCACGACGGGGGACACCAGAAATGGGCTTCACACATTGTACCCATGTAATCACCGCTCTTAGCAGTATTGCAGTTGTGTCACCACGTGCTAGATTATCGAACACAGACGCAAATACATTATTCTTTCCCGTATTCCTCCAGCCCCTACTTTTCATCCCACCCACTTATAATTTTGAGGAAATGAACAATTAAATAAAGCAAAATTGTGAAATAAGATTTATATATTTGTAATGTTTCGACCTTAATCCGAACAGTCTGAAAAGTCTAGTCTAAACATGCAAACAAGAGTTTGATAAAATCTGCTGTATCACGGGGTCTCATTGGTATGTTACCCGGTACTTGTGTGGGTCAGATAAGTTTTATTTACAACCCTTTGTCTGGATGTCGATGGATATCATATATCTATCGTTATGTTCAATGTGGACATTTATATCACACAGAGGAGCTAGGTGATCTCAGTTTTATAGCGTCCTCTCACAAACATTGCTGCAATCTGGACCAGCTCGAAGTATTTAAATGTCGTGTTTTACTGCCAGCGTAACGTTGTCATAGTGTTAGCCGTTATTTTCAAGATCGTAACTCCAATTTCAATTTAATGGCGGGGTAACCCAGCGGTTAAAGTGTTCGTGCGTCACATTGAAGACCAGGGCCTAGATTTTCGAAGCTCTCTTAGCGCTAAGATAGTCGTAAGTGCCATTCATTAACATTAACTTACGACTATCTTAGCGCTAAGAGAGCTTCGAAAATCTAGGCCCTGGTTTTGATTCCCACATGGGTACAATGTGCGAAGCCCTTTTCTGGTGTCCTCCGTTGTGGTAATACTGGAATATCGTTAAAGGCGGCGTAAAGCTAAACTCACTTACTCAATTTAAGACACGGACACGTGCGTCTCAGTGCGTGTATTACCCAGAAAGCCCACACAGGAGCTGGGCATGCGTAATGGCAGTTACAAAAACGAAGACCGCTCATTTTACGGAACAACCATTGGAATACGACAGATGGTAAAAAAAACCGTGTGTATGCTAGCTTAGAAAAGCTGTCCGTCGTGATATTAGCATGTTCAAAATATTTGATAACAATGCAAAACTTTATTCTTTTCATATTTTTGATTTGCGATACAAGTAAAACTAAAATGAGAAAAATATTTTATTTTATAAGACACCCATTTATCCGAAGAGCAGTGGGGGGTGAGGTGGGGTGGTTGGGGTGGGGTGGTGTGTGTTTAGATGGATGGATGGATGGGAAGGTGGGTGGGTTGGTGGGTGTATGGGTGGATGGATGGATGGGTGTGTGGGTGGATGGATGGATGGATGGGTAGGTGGGTGGCTTGGTGAGTGGATGGATGGAGGGAGGGAGGGAGGGTTGGATGGATGGATGGATGGATGGATCTAAATACGATATTGGATGGGTGCAATATTTCCTCATGATATCTAGAACATATTTTTACAGTAAAATTACGAACTAGACACAGGTAATATTTGAACACTGTGCATGGAATGTCAGTAACAGCATCTGATTCTAAACAAATTATTGCTGACCTCATCAGAACTTTACTTCCGTGAGGTAGGGTGAAAGATGGTCTTCAATATTACATCCTTGTAATGCAACGTGTAAGTGCGGCCGTTGGAACTGATCCTGAATAATGTCGGTTTTAACCAAGCTGCACTTTTAACATGAACTCCCAGTTTAGACACAGTTCACTTACTAGTCTTGCTTTAATCCTTAAAACCAAGCTCCAGGCAGGGCAACAACAAGTGTCATATTTTAACATTACCCGTGCAGATCCGGGTTAGGATTGATCTTCAGCAGCTCATGCTTTTTGTAAGATGAGACTAACGGGGTCGGAAGGTCAGGCTCGATGACTTGGTTGGCACATGTCATCGTATCCCAGTTGAGTGGATCAATGCCCCAATTTGCTAATCACTCGATTGTCTGGTTCAGACTCGATTATTTACAGACCGCCGCCATATAGCTGGAATATTGTGCGGCGTAAAACAACAAACATTAAAACATATTTTAAAGCGTATTTGGATGACTCGGCCGGGGATCGAACCACCAACCTTCTTCTCACTTGTCAGACGCTCAGTCCACTGGACCAAGCTATTACATTATCGAGGATACAAAAAGGTAATACTTACATATCTCCTCCCCCTCGCCCTCTTGGACAATTCCAATGCACAAGGCTTTTAACGCCTCCGGGCTCATAGTGACAGGGGCTGGGGTTGTCACCACACCCCCACACTGACACACAACCTCCCGGGACCCTGCAAAATGTACAATTATCCCCACCCCGACAGAAATTGCCAGGGACAGCAAGAGCAGAATGAATCCAGTTACTATGGAGACACGGCATCCTGGGCTCTTCCCGTCACCTCCCTCAAAAGAGGAGAAGGACTCTCCGCTCATCCTGTACTTGGAGCTCATGACGAACTAGTGTGTGCTGTCTCCCCCCGGGCCAAGCCTCAACTAGAAGAATTCTGGATTATATGAGATACTTTACTTGTCATAAATATCTTGGACCATTAATGACTGCATTGCCCTAAACGTGTCACACCAAGTGCTCTTAAAGTGGTTTCTACTATTTTATCAAGACTTCTGTGAAGACATATGGAGTAAACTACGGTTAAAACGAACTTAAAGGGGCCACTGATTTTAGTTTGTTTACAACGATATATTTTAACTAATATATACAAGTATCCGGGGCCGAAAAGAATTCGTTATATCCGTCAGTTCGCTACAAACATGTTCGTGATAGACTCAGCTTAATGCATCACCTTGTTTACCTCGACGTGTTTGTTACGATCTTTTGATGGAGTGAGTAAGTGAGTGAGTTTAGTTTTACGCCGCACTCAGCAATATTCCAGCTATATGGCGGCGGTCTGTAAATCATCGGGTCTGGACCAGACAATCCAGTGATCAACTGCATGAACATCGATCTACGCAATGGGGAACCGATGACATGTGTCAACCAAGTCAGCGAGTCTGACCACCTGATCCCGTTAGTCGCCTCTTACAACAAGTATAGGTTACTGAAGATCAATATTCTAACTCGGACCTTCACGGGTATTTTTTGATGGAATACCTATGAGAAAAATATACTGTGTTGGATAATCAGAGGTGTATATAACGAAATTATAATAGCTGTAAATGACATGTTAGATTTTCAGATGCACTTATCTTAAGTTAGCGATATCATATCCTTAAAGAGCTACTGTTGGTCAGCAGTCAATGAATAAATCTTCATTGTCATACTTCCAACAAAACAAAGTTATTTTATTTATAACTTTTGAAAATTTAAAATAGAATATCACATAATGCTCAGCTGCTGTATTTCCAAATACGTAAATATGCCTTTTTGGGGACAAAATTTAAAACCTTTGAATAATATGGGGTCATGTGGTTGAAAATGTATTTTTTACCCCAGTCTTCATTGAACGAAAATTAATCATATTTCAGAAAAATCTGTACTTTTCCATCATCTTAATAAACTGTGTTTTCGACTGCTGTCAATATACCTAGTGAAAATCCGACCACTTACCCTGACTGGAAATAATGCTCAGTGCCTAATCAGTGGATTGTCTGGCCCGGATAATTTATAAGCTGTCGTCAAGTCATAAAGTTGAACTATTCGCTGGGTGAAGGGTTTAATAAACAGTAAACAAGCATAACTTGAGCCGGATGACATTTATTGACAAAACAATGTGTAAAGCGGTAAAGCAAGACATGGTTTTCTTTTCACTGTCGAAATTCCAGCAGTATTAAGACGAATACTACAAAGGACAGGGAGGACGGGCTACACATATAAGGGAATAACGAAATGGTTTCAAATAGTGTCCCAATTCAGAGATTCGAACCTGGGTCCAGGATCATGAAAATAAATTAAGTCAATATTTCGTCGTACTCTGAGGATTTAGATTTGTGACCGGATTTTATCTTAAAATCGGGGATCTCGAAGCGCGATCTTTGAGAATACCAATTGTCTCGACCAAACTTTGATCTCAAGACGCGAAGGTCGTCTCGTTCACGGACTGTTTCAGCCCTCTAAACATGTATAATGATGATGAACGTTGTTTTGAAAAATACTGATTTACTGAGTCTACCATTTGATTCATGGTTGATTTAATCACACCCCACTTAACGTTCTCCAGTCTCCAACCTATCGTGTAGGGGGCGGTGGGGTAGCCTAGTGGTTAAACCGTCCGTTCGTCACGCTGAAGACCCGGGTTCGATTCCCGACATCGGTACAATGTGTGAAGCCCATTTCTTGTGGCCCCCGCCGTGATATTGCTGGAATAAAGCAGTGTAAAAGCACACTCACCCACTCCTATCAAAGTCTGATAATTGCTCAATTAGTTGCTGTTGGCCTTTAGCGCGACAAGTGACTCAGTTCTCTGACAACTATGTCACATATTCCCACGTCAGTGAACCAAACAAATGGCCACAGAGTAAGATTCCTCAAAGATTCGAACCTTCTTTTCAGGCACCTTTTTCACATCTTTTAAGTCAAGGAAATGAATATCTCCCTTCCGGTTGAGCGCGTAGACTGCCAGTGCCTCGTCATAGAACAGAAGGTTGGTCATAGGAGAGGCCAAGGACTTAATTTTTCTCTTTCTTACGGTCAACAACGGAAGCCTATACAAGGAACTATGTAAAAAATAGTTAACACAGTAATACAGGTCGTTCTCAAGTGGGTCGAGGGTTAAAACGTCTTTTTGTCCCACATTTCCGACTACACTTTCCATACTTTGTCCGTTGTAGTCAAAAGACTTTATGGTCGACCCGATGGCGATGAAGAACCGACCTTGTGACGAATGAACAACGATCGAGGTAGGTTTGTATCCTTCTAAGACTGAATTGATTTCATTACCTTCAACAGAAAAACTGGTAACAATATCTGTTTTAATTTCTTGTCGAATGAGAAATAATAATCGTCGGCTCTGATCTAAGGCCATGGATTGTATACCAGGTAGATAGTGACTATGGATTAGTCTATTATCGTCTAAGAGGTAGGACAATAGTGTGGCGTTGGTGGCTATCAGAAGCATCTTCAGTGACGTCACGTACGCCATGCCCGTGACATCGACTGTGAAATGAAGGTACTTGGTCTTTGTGAGATTGTTGAGGTGAAGCTGGTAGAGGTCTGTATAGGTCAGGCTGTTGGAAACTGATGCAGTTACAACACGTGACAGGTGGACAGCAGAGCGAGGGTGTGGACGTTCAGACACTGCAAGATAATCATAATCGTTAGTCACCCCCAGCTATTCATAGTCAAAATTTACCAACAGTTAAAACTCCTCTATAACCCCACTTTAACCTCATCTATTTACCAACAGTTAACACTCCTCTATAACCCTACTTTAACATCACCTATTTACCCACAGGTAACACTCCTCTATAACCCCACTTTAACCTTACCTATTTACCCACAGTTAACACTCCTCTATAACCCCAATTTAACCTTACCTATTTACCCACAGTTAACACTCCTCTGTGACCCCAATTTAACTCACCTATTTACGCACAGGAAATACTCCTCTATAACCCTACTTTAGCATCACCTATTTAACCACAGTTAAAACTCCTCTATAACCCCACTTTAGCATCACTTATTTACCAACAGTTAAAACTCCTCTATAACCTCACTTTAACCTTACCTATTTACCAACAGTTAACACTCCTCTATAACCCCACTTAAGCATCACCTATTCACCCACAGTTAACACTCCTCTATAACCCCATTTTAATCTCACCTATTTACTCACAAATAAAACTCTTCTATAACCCCACTTTAACCTCACCTATTTACCCACAGTTGAAATATATCCCCACTTTAACCTCAACTATTTACCCACAGTTAAAACTCCTCTATGACCCCACTTTAGCGTCACTTATTTACCCACAGGTAACACTCCTCTATAACCCCACTTTAAACTTACCTATTTACACACAGTTAACACTCCTCTATGACCCCACTTTAGCATCACCTATTTACCCACAGTTAACACTCCTCTATGACCCCACTTTAACCTCACCTATTTACGCACAGGAAATACTCCTCTATAACCCTACTTTAGCATCACCTATTTAACAGTTAAAACTCCTCTATAACCTCACTTTAACCTCTCCTACTTACAGTTAAAACCCTTTTATAACCCTAGTTTAACATCACCCATTTACCCACAGTTAAAACTCCTCTATAACCCCACTTTAGCATCACTTATTTACCAACAGTTAAAACTCCTCTATAACCTCACTTTAACCTTACCTATTTACCAACAGTTAACACTCCTCTATAACCCCACTTAAGCATCACCTATTCACCCACAGTTAACACTCCTCTATAACCCCATTTTAATCTCACCTATTTACTCACAAATAAAACTCTTCTATAACCCCACTTTAACCTCACCTATTTACCCACAGTTGAAATATATCCCCACTTTAACCTCAACTATTTACCCACAGTTAAAACTCCTCTATGACCCCACTTTAGCATCACTTATTTACCCACAGGTAACACTCCTCTATAACCCCACTTTAAACTTACCTATTTACACACAGTTAACACTCCTCTATGACCCCACTTTAGCATCACCTATTTACCCACAGTTAACACTCCTCTATAACCCCACTTTAACCTTACCTATTTACCCACATTTAACACTCCTCTATAACCCCACTTTAACCTTACCTATTTACCCACAGTTAACGCTCCTCTGTGACCCCAATTTAACCTCACCTATTTACCCACAGGTAACACTCCTCTATAACCCCACTTTAACCTTACCTATTTACCCACAGTTAACACTCCTCTATAACCCCACTTTAACCTTACCTATTTACCCACAGTTAACACTCCTCTATAACCCCACTTTAACCTTACCTATTTACCCACATTTAACACTCCTCTATAACCCCACTTTAACCTTACCTATTTACCCACAGTTAACACTCCTCTATAACCCCACTTTAACCTTACCTATTTACCCACAGTTAACACTCCTCTATAACCCCACTTTAACCTTACCTATTTACCCACAGTTAACACTCCTCTATAACCCCACTTTAACCTCTCCTACTTACCTACAGTTAAAACCCTTTTATAACCCTACTTTAACATCACCCATTTACCCACAGTTAAAACTCCTCTATAACCTCACTTTAACCTTACCTATTTACCCACAGTTAACACTCCTCTATAACCCCACTCAAGCATCACCTATTTACCCACAGTTAACACTCCTCTATAACCCCATTTTAATCTCACCTATTTACTCACAATTAAAACTCTTCTATAACCCCACTTTAACCTTACCTATTTACCCACAGTTAACACTCCTCTGTGGCCCCAATTTAACCTTACCTATTTACCCACAGGTAACACTTCTCTTTATAACCCCACTTTAACCTTACCTATTTACCCA